CCCCCCCCCCACACACACACACAAAGACCTGTGTTGTCCCTCCCCATAAATGCAGAAAGAAACGGTGCAAGAGTTTGGGGGAAAAGAAAGGTGGGATTTTATTTTTATTTCTTAAATGCACATGCCCTGGGCTGGAGGTGGGCGGCCTGCACTTAAAAGCAGAATAATAATAAAAAGAAAGAAAATGCATGACGTGCTGACATCCAGAGCAGCCGACCACCGCGCTAGCCATCCTCCCAAGCCCAAGATTTTGCAAGCACAAAAATTGGGGGGGGGGGGGGTGTGGTTCTTGTCTTTTGGAGGAAAGTTCTGCTTTGAAGAGCGGATCACCTGCCTCCCTTTGGAACTGAAGCAAAATGATCCCGACAGGAGTTTAACCTGGCTGGCCTGCCACAGTTTTCCCTCATTCTTAAAAGAGAAGGGGAGAGGGGAAAGCATTGGCTGAATGTGGTTTTTGGATTTCTGCAGCGGGGTGAGGAAGTTTTCGCCAGCTGCAACTCCCTTCATGAGATGCTTGGAGGGGCTAGCCCAGTGTTGTTCAACCCGGGCGACTTTAAGCTGTGTGGATCTCAACTCCCAGAATTCCCTAGCCACCATGCTGGGAGTTGAAGTCCACACAGCTTAATGTTGCCCAGGTTGAACAACACTGGGCTAGAGAGATGGAGGATTTAAACTGGGTTTTTAACCCATTGCGGATGTTAACTGGTAAGGTACCTCTAATCAGTCTGGCATCTGACCTGCATCTCATCAGCCATCTTCCCCTCTCTTTCCACCCCCCTTTCCATCTCATCCCAGTTTAAATCCTACATCTGTGCATCTGAGGAAGGGAGCTGCAGCCCACGAAAGCGTCCACCTTTTCACACAACCTGCTACCAGGCTCCTGACTTTTTTTGCAGCTGTACATGAATAGGGCTTCCTCCTACAATGGCTTGGGGTGCAGAGAATGAGGTTAACCAACTCCTTATCTTCTGGGGCTGCTTTTTCTCCCCCAGTCCCTAAAAGGCATGTTGATAGGGACATAAATCTGTTTTTCTTCAACATTTGAATATTCTGTTTTTACATCGAGAGCCAGGGCTGTGAAAACAGGACAGTGGGAAGACCTGGGTCCGCATCCCCACTCCGCCAAGGAACGATTTTTAATCTCCATCTCAGTATAATGGAACTCAGAGATTTGTTAGAAAGAGAAAGGGTTTGAATTTTCTCTTCTGCTCTTGAGAGACTTAAAACAGGGATACGCTTGTAAATTATATTGATCTCTTGGCGATAATTCCTAAATGCTGCATCCCTTTCCATGTTTTGGGTTCCTTTTCTAGTACCTATTAAAGATATGAAGCTCCTGGACGTGAAACTGGGTCAGCTGCCCTCCTGGCTAGCATCACTAAACTACACCCCCAGAGCAATGTTTGAAGCTTGCCGGAGAGGTTAGTATTTGGAAAATGTGTCTTGGGGGGGAATGTTCCTTAGGAATTTTACAAGATGTATATTGGAATTTCCATGACAGTAGCATTTCAAAATTCTGTTATTAAGTTTGCATCAATAATACTCTGGCTATAGCAGTGTTTCTCAACCTTGGTGACTTGAAGATGTCTGGACTTCAACTCCCAGAATTCCCCAGCCAGCATGGCTGGCTGGGGAATTCTGGGAGTTGAACTCCAGACATCTTCAAGTTGCCAATGTTCAGAAACACAGGACTAGAGAGTATGTGGTTAGTAAAACTATTAACTCCATGAAAGTATTTTGGCTTGGCAGTCAAGATATGAAAATATGTGATTCACCTGCAGTTATTAACCAAAATTTCAACTAGCTACTACAATTTCCACTGAATTCTGCAGCGTACGGTTGCGTTGCAAGCTTCTGTTTTCATCTTGGGATCGTAACCCGGAATTTGAGCGTGTCTCCTGCACCTCTAAATTGGTATTTTAACGTGGTCCGTACGCTTTGATCAGTGGTTGCTGGCGGAATGGTTGAGTAGTAAAACTTTCTAGTTATTGAAAAAGGAATTTTGTTCTGGGCTACAGCTTCAAGGACTCCTGGCTAAAAATCCCACTTAACTTGCTAAGTTTAACGAGATTCACTTCCTGGTAAAAATGATCTCTAATTGTGGCCTCAGGTTTTCCTCCTTTTGTCCGTTATTTTTGTTGCCACTAGATGTGCGTTTTCTTCCATTTTTCAAGCTATTATTCTTAATGACCTGTGTCCATCACCCTGGCTTCTAAGGTGGGTTTCCACTTTGTTTAGGCCACAACAGGTTCTACTCAAAATACTGGGATGTGAAGAAATGTGGCATCAGCGGTCCGGCCATATTAATAACGGCTTATGTGATTTTCAGCTATTATACAGTATACGACCATCTTAGTAAGTAAAATCTTTTTTTTTTTTAATTACACGATGTTCACACAATGTGCCAAGATTCTGTAGGAAGTTAATGGGGTGGCAGATGTTTCTGGCTGCGTTCAGAGACTGGCTTCCATCATCCCAACACAGTGGAACCAAATTACAACGTACAAAAACCTGGATTTGAAACCAATTTTATTTTAAATTCTGGTTCCTGCAAGTGGGCAGAGGCGACAGATTCATATGACATGAGTAAAGCCCCTCAACATGAAAGACTGCATGAGAGGAAGAGTAAAATAGCCAGGCCCACGGCCCTGTTCGCTCAATGCAGGGGGAGACCTACACTAAGGCCCGCTGCATTGTGGTTTTGTGGTTGAATAGACACAAGCTGCTCTGGCAGCTTAAGGCAGGTTTCTCGATCAGTGTTGCATTAGAGACGCTCTGGATGTTTGTGGCCTTGAAGAGAATTTTATTTAGTTCTATCCACCATTTAAACTCGTTGGCCAAATTCTGTTTCTAGGACTCCTACTCACGGTATGTCACCTCGCTTCTGACCAGCCCTGTAATCTAATAGAACAGGTGGGAAATAGGGCTTTGAGACTGTAGCTGCAAAGGACCTTCTGCCAGGTGCTGGTTAAAATTGATTTTCCCAGAAATCTGGTAATTGCAACCAAGAGCAGGAATTGGCAGTACCCCATAAGCTTTTCCTGTTAGACTGCACTTCCATCTTTTTTTTTTTCCATTCACCATGCCCAGATAGGGTTGACAGAACTGTTAAGAGTTCAGTTACCTTATTCATAGATTTCCCTGGCCATATGTAGAAATGTTTAAAACAAACACTAGTTTCTGTATGAGAATTTTAAGAAAATTGCAACCTAACCAAACTGGTTTGTTCTGATTATTCAGAGGAGGAGCGCTGGAGAAAATATCACTGAGAATCCTTGGACAAGTATAGAAGTTGGCTTGCTGTGACCAGTCAACTAAAGGCAACCGACCTCTGGATTTCTCTTATAAAATAGCAAATGTATGCTGAGACCAATAATAAAATATTCAGTCTGTGTCTGGTAGAACTAATTTCAATACTAGGAGACAGATGAGTGAGAATACAAAAAAAGCTTCCTTTAAAACTATAAAAATAGTAAGTATTTGAAGATATAATTCCAGCTTCACCAAGATCTAGAATATTAAACACACTTAGTATGTATCTTTTTTGAAATTGTACAGTTGTCTCTTTTTTCTCTTGATGAAAAATGCCAAGCTTTGAACAATACCCGAAAGCTTTTTTTTTTAAGGCTGATTCTTTGCCATTTTGCTGCCTTTGTCGTTTGAAGGGTTTGCTTCACTAGCACTAACTCATGAACATCCATCTTCTCTAGTTGTTTACAGTGACAATGATTTTTGAGAACAAACAGAAAGGTTAGCAGTATAAAGCTGTTATAATTATAAAGGAAATCATACTGGCTCAAATCCATATAGCTTACTTTCCAAAGAGTAAAGGAGAAAGCTGAGAGCATAGGAAATATGGTACACCATAGTGACTAGAAAATATACTCCAATTCAGATTCTCAGAATAATTCAGATTTGTGAGTGGAATTACATATTGATAACTCTCTTCCAAATGAAACAATGATATGACAAAATATTGTTCTGCAGCAGAGTCTTTAAAAGAATGGGTTTTTATAGAGGGCTGCAGGTTACTCCTAAGGTGAATTTAGGCTTTTGTTTTCTATTTTAAGAAAAAGGGTTTTAATTGAGAATTTTGGATGTCAGAACATTTTGTTCCTAGGGAACTTTTGGTAATTTTTTAATGTGTTTTGCACATTAAAATTGCATTGTACTGGCACACATTTTAGATTGCTTTCAGAATGAAGAGAAGATTTGGTTTTCCCATAAGCCTAAGGTCACTTTTAATAATTTGGAGTTTTCTGCCCACATTTGTTCAGCTGCTAACCATGGCAGTAAAAAAAGAAGGAAAAAACTTCAGAGAGAAGCTATAGCTGCAGGCAAATTCACAGTGGACCCCCTCTCTTTCTCCTGAACAAAATGAACTGCTGCAAGCAGCTGAGTCGCTAATTCCACCTTGAATTAGCCTTCAGCCCAGACAAGGAGCACAAAGATGCAAAACAAAGCGGATCTGGGCAATGGCTCACACGCAAATATTTATCATCTTCTGCCATAGCCAAGGACGGCTGAAAGAACAAAGACCTCCAGGCTAAATGTTTTTGAAGGAGAAGCTCCACAGTTTTGAACCAAAAATCCCTATCCCAAATGTTTTATTTTAGAAGGCTTGTGTATTAAGTTTGCTTCTTCAGGCTGCTTTCACATTACATTCTGTGAACAAGGGCAGGCACTAAGTTCTAGCCTTAAAAATTAAAACAAGGAAATACCCCCCAAAAAAAAAAAGTAGTTGCAAACCAAGTAGTCCTTTCACTGGCCAGTCCTTTGGTGCCGGTATAAAAAAAGGTGGTTCAACAGTTCAAGATGACACTAGAGATAATTCAGCTCCCAAATATATATATAAAAATGCTGTAAAGTCTGCTGATTCATTGCCCACTAAGGAAGGCCAAGTGTCCTTTGGTACATCTGTTGGCATAATGTCCTTTTTCACCACACTAGGGAGAAGAGAAAAATGTTATTAAAGTACATACAACTAGAAGCTTTTAATGAACAGTTTAATCTGGATATTCACAATCATAGAGAACCTCTGGTTTTCTCTAAAGTAGCTCCACTCTGGAGGTCCATAGTTAGAAGCATCAATGCTTTGTCTCTTTCAAAATAATATTCTTGTAGTATAAATCAATAAACGGCTGCTGTTTTATACCCCATCGTTTGTATTTGGACAGGCGGGATATATGTCCATGGGCAGGTTTTCCCATGAAAACTTAACACTCCGTACAGCTGAATTTGGCACTGCAGTAACTACCCAAGGGAAAGCTATGGCCTACAACACAGTTCTCCCAAGATCTATTTATGATTTCAAGCTAACGCTTTCCAACCTATTCTATTACTAGCCTTCATTCCCCATTGTCCGTATTAGACTATAATGGTACAGATTTCTTAAAATGTCCTCCTCTTTGTGTAGAAATAAGGAAAAAAATCTCACATGCTTTTCTCACTTTTCACAAAGATGAGAGTCATTTCTCAAATTCCACCTCCTAGAATCAGAAGGGAGTATCCAATTTTTAAACAGTGAAAGCATGATGTCTGTTACCGTCTCACCTCCAGAAGTCAGGGCTGGGGGTGGAACTGCCCATACCAAAATCCCTTGCACGTTTCATTCCCTAAGAATACGCAGCCTTGGCAGCTTGCCTTACCTTATAACAGGTGACCTGCTCCAGGGGGCGTGGGCCTCTGTTCCCTATGCTGTTGTTTTGGGACTGCATAACCCCAATGACCTGTGGAGTCCTCTGCTGGTTGGGAGAAGAGTTCTGATTTGTCAGCTGGATGAGAGAGGATGACCTTTGTAATGGCGTGTTATTGCTTTGCTGAAGAGGGAAAACAGCCCGCACAACAGGTAAGCACCTTAGAGGCAGCTATCTCTGCTAACATCAGACAAGAATCAGAAGAATGTTGCCCCAGACTTGGGCCCACGGTGCAAAAGGTAATCCACACACCTCCCTAAAACTACCCCGGGACAAGTTTACAGTGTTGTGAATCCTTTCGAGCTTCCCATGAGTCTGCAGTCCTGGGACCTGCCGAGTGATCAGAGCATCATCTAAGCCAGTGTTGTCCAAACTTGGCCACTTTAAGATGAGTGGACTTCAACTCCCAG